GTTTATGATGATTATTATGTCTGCATGTCTTTTTTCATCATATTTATTGACAGCTACGTAATAAAAATTATGCAGTGATCCTAGTCCTTTTATTTTGTGTCTCCCTCATGTATAGCTCTTATCATAATATCATTCATCAAGTTAGTTTTTTACTTTATCACCTCAAAAAAAATGAGTTAATTTCTATACCACTGTCCTCTCTTCTGTACTTAGCATAGGATTTATGGTTTAGTCATTGGTGGAAGAACAGCTGCAGCATAGAGTTCTATTCAAATATTAGACACCCATCTAAGTTTTGCTTCTGTTTTGAATTCAGTCAAACATTTTCATGATTGAGTTCGGTCATTTTGAGCTCCATTGCCTATACTATTTTATTTACAATCTACAAAATTTTATTTGTCAAGTTGTTATATGCTGGTCCTATCCTGGGAATATATGTTGGAATTTTGTCCTATATGGTGCAGTTGTTGCTGTTTGATGATTGCGAATGAGATGGGGGTAGATATCTAAGTTCATGCAGGAGAATCTCCACTTATTTTTGCCACCCCCTGCATTTGTTATTCTTATTCCACCTTTTATGTTTTAAGTTTCTTAGGTGATTCAAATTGAATTTTGCTGTTTATTAAATTTAAAGCCAAACAATATGATTTTTCTTGTCTTAGTTACCTAAGATGCTTGAAATTGTTTGGTTTTTGTTCATTACATAGATTCATAGATATATTTACCCATTTCTCCTTTGCATATTGGGAATTGATCTTGTATAATATAGAATTACAATGATGTTTAGGAATTTTGAGGAATAAGTTTATATTCGAACCATGGTTGTTCCTACTTCCTAGTTCAGATTTCAGAGCTTCTCTTAATAGAGGAATTAAATGGGACAATACCCTCTTATTGGGTGAATGAAATGCACAAGCATGATTTTGTCCCTAATGTTTCTCTGCTGTCTCTGGGGATTGATACATGTCTGACCTAAAGGATAAGTTTATGCTTTTCTAAAATATTGAATCTTGGAATTGCAGCTATGTCCTTGCAATTGAATTTCAACAGCAAGTTATTGATGCTTGGGAAAGCCATGGAGCAAGTGCAGAAGATGAACTTAGAGAAGCCCAGCGACTTCTTGAAGAATTAAAGAAAAAAGCGCGTGGTGCGTCTGCAAATGAGTTTCCTATGAAGGCTTTGCCCTTACCGCATACACCTGCAACATCCAGGGACTCCCAACAGCACGTGCAATTACATAAAGAGGAGTGTTAGTAACACACTTCTACTAATACATTATCTTTAATTGATTAAAACTTATTGAAAACTATAAATTCAATGAGAGTTTCATTAAATAGGATGTAGAATCCACACTTTTTTGTGATTTTCAATATATTCCAACCAATAATAAAGGTTGTGTTTAAAAGAGTGTCTTAGAATATATTCCTAGTTTTGCACACTTTCCCTTTCACACTGCCATTGCATATGGTAAGAATGTCTATGAAATTGGTAATAGGTTGCCAGTTTTGAGGTTTCCCTACAGATTTATGTGGGCAATTACTGAAATTAGGTAGTAGTTAGACTTAATTCCCACCCATATGTTTTATATTTGTCATTATACTATTCAGATTTTTTTTTCTCTTTTAAATTTTAAATCAGTACTAGTATCTTGTCATTATTCAATTATACGGAATTTCCTTCAAATAATGTAGTTCTTTCCCTTTTTGTTTCCTAACGTTGTTACAAGCAAGCACCACTGATGTGATCAAGGGGATGCTGTATTTTTCATTATTACTGTTTTTTTTTATCTTCATTCTTGCAATCTGCAAGGAACTAAAATTAGCAAGCACGTGTTATTGATTTATTATTGTTGTTAACCTTTGAAGACAGCAAATTATAAGTTTAACTTTTATGATGTCTTTAATATTTTTGTTCTTTTGTAGCTACATTAGATTTTGTAAAGCCAATGTAATAAGTATCTATACGTACAGAAGTATAATTGCTTTAGGCTTTTGGGAGTGAGAAGAATTATTGCATATGTTGTTGCTTGATATTGATTCCTATTTCTTCTAACTGACTCTAACATTTCAACTTTCAAGGAAACTAATCAAAAGTGAGGATGAGAACAATTGAGAGTAAGAACTAAGGACAAGGAAGGAAATTATTGTCATTTCTATAATGGGGCATGGGCGCTTGTTTAGAGTTGGAGGGCAGGTTCCTTTTTCTTTTGGATTCTTAATTTAAAAATCAGTGTCACAAGGAACTTGGTTCAAAAACTAAAATTGTCAATTAGTGATTGGTTTACGGGCACATATCAGGTTTTTCTTAAGGCCATGGGTTCAATTCTTGTATGTGGAAAGAACTCTTGCAAGGAATGTTAATTGTATCATGAATGTTATTCGTATTCATAAAGAAGGAGTCAAAAGTAACAAGTACTAAAGAAGAAAGCATTTAATAGAATCTTAATTTAGTGCTGGTGTTTAGCCTGTCAAATTTGTTCATCAACACATGAGTAGGTGTATTCATGGGGGCTCCTATTTTAACAAGTCCAGCTCAAAGTCATCTGGGATGGATTTGAGTTTAAGAAATTAAACCTTGTGGATTTTAAGGATGTGGTTGAGTTAAATAATGAATCGTTCAAATGAATTAATTATCCTTGATTTATTATGATTTATAATGAAATCTATTCAAGAGACGTTTACTCATTTTCAATAAAAGTGAATCCATCCATTAGGGTTATTAATAATGAGTTATATTCATTGATAAAATAATTATCTGTTGAATTAAAATTAATTTTTGAGTGTATATTAATGACAACAAAGTTAGAATTTAAAATCTTGTGCATAGTACTCCACTAAATTGATTTTAGTGGTTTTTTAATTACAAATAGGTTATTAAATATAATCGCTACATAAGTCATTCATTTCTATGAGTGATTTTTAGAATAAAATTTAAATTTATGACATTATTAACTAAAATTCACTATTATCATTGGTTTTGATGAATTAAGTATTTTATATATATATATATAAAGCTAGAAGTGATATGTATTAAGAGAAAACTCACACACTAATGTTATCATTCAATTACAAATCATCATGTATGAAAAGTTTGTTGACTTTTATAATATTTGCTTTAAAGTTTTACTAACAATTACTTTTTATTGGTTGTTATTTGTTAGAGTAAAGTTTTGTACAATGACAATGTATGAGCATTAGATATCTCAATTGTAATTATGTGTTTCTTAAATTGTACAATTTAACTACTATATATATATATATATAATATCCATAAATCAAGTTGATATACTATAATTTTATATACCGTTAGTCTTTATTGTAAAAACACAGGTGAGTACATCCTACTCATCCAAGAGCACCTAGAGTCTTGGAGTCATGAGTGTTATTTACATTTTACACGGGAAAAAAATTTCTCAAGTCCTAAATTGTTTTGTATTAGCTATCCTAATTACTCCATTACTGTCCTCTTGGTTCTTGGCAGATATTTCTAGGCACCCTTCCTAAAATGAAGTGACATTACAAAGGTCTACTAACGCCTAGCCAAGGGAAGGTTGTGGTTAAGACTTTAAAGGGGGCCAGGACAGAGGCAAAATACCAACCATAGTTTTAACATTAAGCCACATTTAATGCTGTATTATGCAGTTGCCTTATGATTGCAGTGAGGCAAAAAGGTAGCACTAGTGATAATTCCCACAAAAGACATTTCTCATGCTGCTACTTATGGTTTCTCATTGCCCTGGTCCCTATGATCTGGCCTCCAATAAATAGCTTCTACTTATAACACTTGCTTTGCTTGTTCTACCCCGATACATTCTCCGGACCCAAATAAAAATCAAATAAAGGAAGAGGAATAATGAGCATCATAGCATGCACAAAAGGACCCCGAATCAAAATGTTTGACAAGTTTTCAAGTACTAGTGTACCCTGTAAAAAACAATGAGTGTGAAAGTGATACACTGCTAACAATCATTTACATTCATTTGTGAGTGAAAACCAAACTTTAGAAAGGAAATACCACGCCTTGTAATTTAAGCAAGGTACTAATTACTAAAGCCTAAAAGCAAAGCTTTTTTTTTTTTTTTTTTTTTTTTTTTTTCTTTTTTTTTTT